TTTGAGTTGTTTCAATTTATTTTATTTACACAGAAGATTGTTCCAACATTTCTATCTGTGTGGAGCATATGAGCCTAGAATTTGTATGGTAAATAGACATAGATAGGGTACATACTGAATGGTGCATTGTTTCCTTTTTTTTATTAATATTATTATAAATTATTACTGTATATTTCGTTCTGTTAATTACTATATTAAATAATTTATCATTTCACTTTATAATTAATTACAGGGTTATATAGTTCTCAACAGACCTTGGGCATTTGTACAATGGCTTCAGCAAGCGAACATCAAAGAAGAGTATGGGAAAACTTAACTATGTCGCTTTGACACAACAACATTTCTTGATCAATTTTTTTTTGCATTTCTAGGCTTCAGCAAGCAAACATCAAAGAAGAGTATGGGTTCCAAGACACTTCTAGACTGAAGATGACCTCGGCTTGGAATGATCTAGGCTTAACATAATCTAGGCTTGGCATGACTTCGGCTTAACATAACTTAGGCTTAACATAGCAGGGGAGGGGCAAAGCATGCAAGCAACACTTAGACATAACACATAAAACACAAAGCAAGACGAGATTCATGGATGCAAACTTAGCAAGACAAAGTTGTGTAAATGAACATGAACATGACCATGACATGAATATGGGTCTTTACAGCATCTTAACATGGCAAAACATACAAATGTATGCAAACATGACTAGGACATAAAATGTGGGTTGTTACATCCTTCCCCCCCTTAAAGAAGTTTGGTCCCCAAACTTCACTTACCTTGTTCCCAAAACGTCTCCGGATGTCAAGTTCTCATCTCTGCTTATCCTCTCTAGCCTTTACCTCGGGACAATCCTTAATATGATGACCTCTCTCACTGCATCCAAAACATGCTCTAGTCGCCGGAAGACAAACCCCAAAATGTAGCTTTCCGCAACTCGCACATGTCGGCTTGGTGTTACCTTCCTGATTCGTGTTGTTGGGACTGTCCTCCTTTGTCTTCTCCTCGGCGTCATTCGAGTCTGCCTCTTCTTCGCAATTGTCATAGGTCTGCCTCTTCCTCTGATTCTTCCCCGAACTTTGACTTCTGTTCAGGTTGGCTTTTGCAAGGGTGGCTTTATCTAACACTCCAGCATACGTCGGCATATTGAGCAAATTAACTTGATCTTGTATTGGCCCTCGAAGTCCACTCTCAAACTTGCGAGCTTTCCTGTATTCGTTGTCGACCATGTGAGGTGCATACCTTGCCAACTCGGTGAAAGCACGATCATACTCCGCCACTGTTTTGCTACCCTGTGTCAACATCTTGAATTCTGTAGTCTTGCGATCTCGGACACTGAGTGGGAAATGCTTGTCATAGAACAGCTCCAAAAATCTGGTCCAAGTCAAGTCTGGATTACCTTTTCGGATCATCATCCACCATCTACGAGCGTCGTCTTCCAATGTGAATGCTGCTAGTGACACCTTCTGAGCGTCGGTACTGGGAAAAACCTCGAACAACTTCTCCATCTCAAGAATCCATGCTTCTGCTTTCATCGGCTCTATACCTCCATGGAACTTCGGCGGTTTCATCTTCTTGAATTCTCTGATCAGGGTCAATGTGTCATCTCCATACAAAGCTGGCTGAGGAGGCACTTATGGTACTGGAGGTGGTGGAACTGCATGTCGGCCATCTGTCTGCGCGGCCTGGGTGGGGGTGGTACCGGTGTTCTGCTGCCTTGCTTGCGTTAACTCATCGGCCAAACTTTCAACCAATCTTTCTAATCTGTCTATTCTGTCTTCGGACTGATCTCGGCCAACTGGGGGTCTACCTCTTCTCATGATGCTATGAGTATGCAAGATGTGACTCTTAGAACAAAATGAACAAGTGGACATGTATGCAAGTGAACATGATCATGCCGATGTAACAAAATGTTCATGCCGAGATGATGCACACCTTGTCAAGTAGCAAGCAATATGATGCAAATCCTAAAATCATTCTAAGGGACATCCTATGCTCTTTAGGACTCAAAGTGTGTGAATAACGTACTATACGGAACTTGTGCTCTGATACCATTCTGTCACGACCCCAAATCGCCCCTAGTAGTTTGGTGCCGTGATGGCCAGTAATCCGAGATTACCGAAGGCCAACTTTCAAGATTCACACACAATCATAGTATAGATATAGGGGGCTCACAAGCGCGGAAGCAATAATCTAAAATACAAGTGGTCCATAAGAGCAGTGCATAAGTCAAATAGAATGACATACATCTTTACATAGCTTTAAAACTTGAACACATATAAAATGAGGTACAAAAATACATATTACATCTTGGTAAAAGGCTTCTCAAGCCGACATAAACAAAAACACTTGAGCTACAAATCATGAAACAAAATCTTCAGGATTGCCGATATCCTTATAGTCGACATAACATGCATACAAAACACACATCTTGGCGTAGCCGACTTCTTGCTTGTTACCTACATATATACATAGGGAGGGTGAGCTTGGATACTTAGTGAATGATATAAGTAATAAAGGGGTTAAATAAATGATTCCCGAGGTCCTTCAAAAACAATACATAGTATATCTTTGTTAAAACCATACATATCATAGCTTGTTCAAAACATGAGATAAATCTTGTTCATCAAACTTGATCTTACAAAACTTACTTACTTAACATACGTCAAATCTTAAAACATAACCTCGACATAACCTTGGTCCTTCAAAACAAAAGCATAACCTCGGCATCAAGCACACCCGTTCATAGTCCGTAGGTGGCCGATATCTTAACAAGGGTGCTACTTAGGCTTAACGTCCCCTAGCACGAAAGGACCCTCAAAACAAGATGTGCTGCGAAAGTTTAGAGTCCTCCAGCACGAGGGACCTATGTTACAAGAGCCCGTAGCCCTTTAACACTTGGGTGCTGCGCAAGTTTAGAGTCCTCCAGCATAAGGGACCTATGTTACAAGAGCCCGTAGCCCTTTAACACTTGGGTACAAATCAAGGGTGCTGCGAAAGTTTAGAGTCCTCCAGCACGAGGGACTTTCCGAAAATGTCGTCAAAACAAAGCTTACTTGATACATTGCCATTCAAAACAAAGCTTATACTTGATACATAAAATAGGGATATCATTCATGCTTAACAAATACTTTTATCAAAACAAGGCAAAGATTTATCAAAATCTTAAGAACATAACTTTATTAAAAATACCACTCACATAGTTCTTGGACGTTAGGATCAAGGCAAAGGTCCAAGTCCTACAAACACATGGCAAAGCATACTGAAGACACTTCTCAAAACAGGTCTCACATGCATGCAATGATCTCGGAAAAACATGCTGGAAGTCAAAACACTGTTTCACATGCCAGGAAGACATGCTGGGTACCAACCAGGTCTTTGCCGAGGTCCCACAGCTCCTGGCCGAGGTGTGGCTACCTAGGCTTCGGCATACGGCTGCATGCTGAGGTGTGCACAAGACAAACTAAAGGTGTAAGTGATCATGAAAGGTAGGCCAAGGTGAGATACGACGCTTGGCCTAAGTGTGAGGTCTAGGTGAGAGTGATCTCGGCGACTAAACCTCGGGAAGTGAGGTCTGGAGATCTAGGTTTCCACCCGTGAAGAACAGGAAGAACATGAACATGAAGATCATGAAGAACATGGATGCCAAAATCATAACTCCTTTATTTACAAAATCTGGGATTTCATGCTATGAGTTCGAAAACATGGACCTGGGTACCCATACTTGAAAATCATATGAAAACAAACACAAAAACATGAATCTAGGCAAGAGTTTTCGGATCAAAACATAACTTTTCTTGAAGAACACATGAATGCTATTTTCTCTTTCTAAAACCGGACTTCAAAACAATCAATGGCTTACAAATCATATTGAATCATGCAATGCAATAACATAAACATAAAGAACAACATGGGTAGATCAAGAATCTAACCTTAGAGCACGGATCTAACGGTTCGATCTCTAGGGATCAAGCTTGGAAATCTATCTCCTCCCAATAACTCCTCTCCCTCCTCTAGAGCTTCTCTCTCCTCTTCAAAACAAAGATACAGAAACGATAGGCTTTTCTCTCTCTATCGGCTGACTTAACTCTCAGCTCGGACACGTGGCAACGGCTGGTTGGTTCTCTTCAAAAAGGTGATAGGTTGACAAGACAAGACTATGACAAAGTGTATCTAACAAGCTACTCGGTATGGAACTCCGGCAAGTGATGACATCGGCTAAAGACAAAGCTTCGACAACTAAGGTGACAATGACCTCGGCTAGGAAGGACGACACTTGACTAAGCTGTGCCACACCTTGGCCTAGATGTGTCACACCTCGGTCTAGGTCATACCACTCCAGGACAAGGTCACTCAGGTGCAAAGGTAACATCTCGGCCTTGGTGATTCACACCTCAGCCTAGATAATGACATTTCGGCCAATATGTCAAGACGAAGATGGAGGTCAACAAAGGGGTTCCAAGACATTTCTAGACTGAAGATGACCTCGGCTTGGAATGATCTAGGCTTAACATAACCTAGGCTTGGCATGACTTCGGCTTAACATAACTTAGGCTTAACATAGCAGGGGAGGGGCAAAGCATGCAAGCAACACTTACACATAACACATAAAACACAAAGCAAGATGAGATTCATGGATGCAAACTTAGCAAGACAAAGTTGTGTAAATGAACATGAACATGACCATGACATGAATATGGGTCGTTACAGCATCTTAACATGGCAAAACATACAAATGTATGCAAACATGACTAGGACATAAAATGTGGGTTGTTACAATTCAGACTTTGTATTCATTTGTTTCGTCAGTGGCTTTTATTTCTCACTAGCTGAGATTCACTGTGAATCAGATACCAAAAAATCATTTTACCATCAAAATTTCAGAATCTGGATTTTTTTATTTTATTTTATTTTATTTTTTGGGTGGGACTAATGACTACATATAAGCCGATGTATTTCAGATAGAAGAACTGTCACGTTAAATCAAACATCTCAACTAAGTAATAGATATAAGTGATTAAAAAACTGATCATAACGTGCAAATGCTGATCATAAAATGTAAAATGCAAGGATTACAACATAGCAATAAAGCTAGTTTTAATAAAAATTCAAGCTAAACTCAATTAGTCCATTTCAGTGGGTGTAAGAATACCAGTAGCGAGACCTCTTGATGGCGGCAAAATATTTTGTAATCGCTTGATCAGCACATCAAGCATCCTTGACTTTTCCATATCTCCAGCCTGCAGTAGAAACCTCTCCAACATCTGAAACACTGCCTCACTCACGTGCCTTCCTCTCTCCAATATTTGTTTGGAGCACTTAAAAGCTTCTTGCACCTTCCCATGCGAGCACAATGATGTTGCCAATAGATCCAATGCATGGCCATAGGGGCAGTGACCTCTCTCTAATAGGCAGCCCCACAAATTCAACCCCAAATCAGGCTGACGATTTGCACAAAAGAATTTCATCAACATCACCACTGTTCGTGTCTTGGGAACAAAGTTTTTCTTCCTCATATTATCAAAGAGTTCAGAAACAGAGTCCAAATTTTTTGACTTCATTAAACCAAAGAACATAGTATGGTATGTGATATTGTCATGCCCAATGCCTTTCTCTTCCATCTTATCCATTAAGCTGGTTGCAGACTCCACGTCCCTGCATCTTACAAGAGAACTCAATAAAGCATTATAAGCACCAGTATCAGGCCTTAAGTTTCTCATGGGAATCTCTTCCAACAACTCTCTTGCTTTAGCTATGTTTTGAGCAATCCCTGCGCCATGAATCAATGTTGTTATTGTTTCTATTGTAGGCAAGCAATTTACACCTTCCATTTCTGTAAGAAGTCTCAAACCATCACCGAAACATCCTTTCTTGTAGTAAGCATCAATTCTAATATTGTAAGTCACATTATTCGGCTTAAAGCCTCTTCGAACCATCTCATGGTAGAACAGTTCTACAGTGGTAAGATCACCTGATTCCTTGAAACCCAACAGCAAAATATTCATGGTCTTGGTGTTGGGAGAAAATCGAGGATGTATCTTGTTGAACACAGACCTTGCCTCCTTCATCTGCCTTTGAGTACAAAATGCTCTAAGTAGTACATTGAACTCATCGGTGCCAAATTTCCTCCCTACAAATATATTTTTTGCCATCCTCTCAAATGCTTCAAGGGTATCTTCGTAGGTCTGGAACTTAGCAATTCTCGATAACAAGATTCTCATGGATTTTAGGGTTAGCAAGGAAGGGTGTGTTCATTGAATTTCTTCATCAATTCCCAAGCTTTATCAAAGTAGCGCATTCGTGCAAGTATATGGAGCGTCTTCTCAAAAGCATCTGAACTTGGGCGGAAGTGGGAGTGTTTAAGGGAGAATTTGAAGAATTCAAAGGCTTTAAGGCCATTGGAGTGTGCTGCAAAGAGACGACCGAGCACATTTTTCACAAGCGGAGTTGAAAGCACAGATGGCGGGATATGTTGCAAAAGAGTGGGGTGAAGCGGGTGATCAGGGAAAGGGTGGTCGTTAACAATTTCGATGATTCTCTCGATTTCAATTTCTTTTGGCTGGCAGGTTGATTCAAAAGCAAAGGTACGAAATAATGCTAGTTTTTTAGGACCTAGTTTATTGTATCTATTCAGTTTGACTTTCTTCAAAACAAGACACAACACTCAACTTCCATCTATGGATGCAAAGCTTTACTGATCTCAATACCCTGTTAATCAAACATATACATTGGTTAGAATTGACTGGCAATTGTTATACATGAAGCAGATGTGGTATGCAACTAGATAGAGAGAAACTGGTATAAGAGATATGCTTGAGTGAATATAGGATGTGAAACAACATCTAGATTATCAATAAAATATCAATGCATTTTCTGTGAACCATTCTGTGATCAATTATGTGCTCCTAGCATTATTTTTCAAAACAAGAGCAACCAAGTTTGCAACAAATAAGAAACCTACATCTATCAAACATTTTCACAAACATTTTCAATGTATATCCAAATGCTACCATAAACACATCTAAAACATACAAATATATAACCAATGCAATTACAACAAAAAAACACAAACAAACAAACCCAAAAAAATAAAAATAAAAAGTGATAATCTAGAAACTCAAACCGAAACATCAAATCAAATTATGAAAAATCCCAAATCGAAAAAATTTGGCAATCAAATTAAGCTATAAAATAGCTTACCCCTTGGCCCTAATGCACCATACCTTCTCGTCTTCTTGGTGTGTGGCCGGAGAGAGTGACGATGGCAAGAGAGAGAGAGAGAGAGGAACCGTGTCCTGATTTTTGGGAAATTCACTTCGACCTCTCAAATCAAGAAGCTTATGTCAATTTACTCCCTCAACTGTCATGTTTCAGGGCTTCAAAGTTTTATTATTATTATTATTATTATTGTTTTATTTATTTATTTTTTATTATTAACAATTAGGGAAATTCCATTCAATTCTGTTGATGGTTAGACTTAAAAGAAAGGGGTTGCTTGTAATGCTCCCAAAAAAATACATACAACTTTCCAAGCCAACACTTGGTTACACAAAAGAGAGTACTAACTCATAACAAAAACAATAAAAAGAGTCTTCAACTCCCAAAACCTTCCAAGCTATGTCCTTAGAGGTGGCATATCACCTGGACTTGAAAATGATGTCCCATATAGGGTGAGCCAAAGCCCAGCAAA